AACTTTCAGTCTTATGGACGGCTTTATAAACAAACTTGCAATCCATTGATGTCAAATACGGATACATTTTTAAAGCTAGAAATTAGCAACTGTAAAATACCCTTACTGAAGAAAAAAAAGTGGCATAATGTGTTGGCGCATACAATAGCAAAGATATGGATATGTTAAGCTATAATAAAGTGTCAGGGAACTTTTAATAATGGTACCCACTTTACAGAGAAACGTAATATTTTTGAATGAGATTATGACTGATGGTACACCCTCTATATTTATCTTTGAGTTGTCTTGTTGTAGCCACAAAAATGGTAAAATTAGTTTTCTTAATATTAAGAGTTTATTCACCTTGAACCAATTTGCAACCTTGCACATATCTGTTACTTCATTATATGCCTTACCATCAGCAGAACACCTAGCAGGAGAAATAGCACGGTTGATTTTTCAGCCCCACCATTTTACCTGTGACTCATGCAAGACTTCTACCAGCAAATGTTGTGATGCACTAGCAGCTCAACTACACAGGAGCAAAGTGCAGGGAAATAAGACTTACAGCAAGCCCGCTAAATAAGGTTCCCTATATGCAGCCACAAAAAGTGACACATTTCTATTTGAACACATATACGCCTCCATTCGTGGCAACTACGCAACCAACTATAGTAAAGAAAATGAAGTAACACATTGCCACCAACTGAGAGAACAAGGCATGACCATTACTCTCAAGGGCACTGTTGCACATATCCAAGAACGATGGCTCTCTGCAATGCCTGATGGAGTCAATGACTCACCTGTGCTTATTGAGATAAAATTTCCAGCCCTCACTCACTGACCAGCTTTCTCAGAATTCAGTAGACCTGCAGCTGTAGAAAATTGGCAACATGGAATATTACATACAAGTAAAACCTAACTTTTTTGTACAGGTCTAAAGTCTGCCACAATTCTTATGGACACCTATTGAGCGTGTTTCCATGATAGTGCAGTATCACGAGACTATGTGTGGGAGCAAGTGAAGCGCTACATTTTTTCATGTGTGCTACCTCAGCTTGTATATGAATACGCTAGAGGATGGTTTAAGCTATAGAAAGACATTGAGGCAACATGGGCAACATTTACTGCACATCTGCACATGTGGCATGACCATGAATATCTGCCATACATTAAGAGAATCACATTGACATCTCGCGACCCTGTACAGGATAAGCGGTTGACGATGGAAGGATGGACATTGACATCTCTGATACCTTCACGCTATGTAAATCAGCTTTATTTCAAATTTATGCAAAAACATGCTTTTACAGCTGTTAACTTTCTGTTTTAACAACGAAGGATATGCAACACGTTGCTACAGTATAATTTACTCCAAATAAAAGTACAAAACATTCACATACCAGCATGGCACCTTTAAAAAGCTCCTGACATGTTAAAAGTCGTTACATATTGGTCTCCACCTTCCAAACAAGTTCTTGAGAGTTTAAACAAATTCATGTAAGATGTAACGTGACAAGGACCGTTGTTGTATAACACCTGACAATTGCAAACATCTATGAAATGATAGAAAAATGAATTACAGGTGACAAATGAAAAATATGACCATGCAGATGGCTGTATAAAATGTATAAAACGAAAGAAAGGGATAAGAAAAACTCCACAAATGTATCAACAATAAGATGGAACAAAAATATAATAACTATAGAATATAACCATTTACAGCAGTGGCACTAAAACCACATGCACCAGAACAACCACAAAAAGGACTGAAATCAATATCTTTATTTGGTCCTGGGTAAGCTGTGGTGTACGGAAGTAATCACATTCTGTACAACAGAACAAACATACAAAGAATGTTCACATAATGAATATAACTTCCAGCATGTTTTGTTCCCATCATTTTTCCACCATTATAGATTTTCATTTCAGTACTGCACCATTTCTTTTGACAGTCCTGAGGGTTCTTGAGGTTCTCAAATGCTGAGTTAGTTTGAACCACGAGTGACATCCTCCCCTAAATTGACAAGAGCAGCACATATTCTCAGAATCTTGTTCATCTTTGGAGCCAAGGCAGTAGAAACAACCTCTGTCAACATTTTGTAAACTTTCAAACGTCCGAGTGCCTTTTCAACATGAATCCTCACGTGTGCCATTTCTTTACTACATGCCGCATATTCCTCATGTGTCTGTCCTTCTTGTCTTTTGAAAGAGGGCACTACAAATTGAATCTTTCTCTCAAACAGCAAGTCTTTTATGGTAAAGCCTCGATCTGCCATGACCTCATCTCCAGGTTTATGTAGTCTAATATTCCAGAGACCATGGTTATGAATTGGTCACTGCATCGCCCTCCATATGCTCCAGAGACAAACATGATTAGTCCACATGGGGCAACAGCTACCAGGTATTTCACTGTGTTATATGTACAATCATGGTTGCGTGATTCCCCTGTAGAATCAGGTTTTTGTAAAAGGATCTCACTGCAGTCTATGATACATGTTGTATTGGGAAAGTGCTTCTTAAATGCTTCAGGCATGGTTGCCTCAATAGTTTTTGGAAGCCACGGAATCAGAGGTTGCAAAACTTCCTCCAGTTTGTCAATCCAGTATGAGATTATTTTGCTAGTCATGCTCTGTGATACACAAAACTGTCTGCTCAGATCACCTATCATACGGTTGGTCTTTAGTTTCACCAGCGTCAAGAGAACTTGATCCCGCACCGACATCGTAAATACATTGCTAGCGTATCCTTCCAACGTTGACACAAGGATGTTAAATACATCTCGGGTTAGCCCAGTGTACAGCAAGCATCTGAGTCGTTTTGAAGCATGAAGTACCCAATCCCATCACACTGAGTTGCCTTATCCTGCACATCTTTACCGATGGCCGGCCTGCAATAATTATGATCATTCCGTGAAGGGTCCTCCCACTGTGTGTGGACTGAGCGGCTTTGCAGTTCAGTGGGATGTGCAGAGCTTGAGACAGTTGAAGAGCCCACCGAGAAGTCTGTCAACACACAAATAAGTTTAAATACTGTAGGTACAACAGATACTGTACATTTGAATCACTTCCACACATGCAAATGGTGGTTGACAAAACTGTGTCTACATAACACAGTGTTGTGAACATGAACTGAATATTATAACTCAAAGGTAAGACTATTACAGGGCCGATGAAACGTAGTAGTCACTTCAGGTATAGGAAAAAAACTGATAACTAAGTGTATGCCTAGGTAGTTAGTAGGGCTGCATGATTAATCTAATCGCAGTTGCAATCGCAATGTTGTCATGTACGATTACATAACTGCAAAAAGAGTGCTGTGTATAGGGTCGGGCGATCGTCTCTGTTTTCATATCGTCTGATCTTGAGATTACCAATTGGCAATCTGATCGCCAGGGCCGGTGTTACGTTGCAGCAAGTCAGTGAAATGCCAGCATGGACGAAACAGGCTTATTAGCTTTAAGAGAAACCTCCAGAAAAATCTGTAAATGCACAGTACAGTGTTTCCCACATAATTACCGTGTAACTGTGGCTGGGGAAAGGAGGGTGCAATTGATTTGTTCAGCGTGTCAACCTCGACAACCCAGCTGTATTCTTACGTTAACATATTCGTCTCCGACATTGATAGCGTTGTGTTATGAAAACAGATTTCTCAGAGTTAACTTCAATGCTTTTCTATAAACACACAGCTGCTTTTCAATGTGTTTGTGAGAGAGAGGAAGTGTGCGAGCAAGTGGGGGTGCTGGGTGAATCTATACGCTCTTGTCTCAGTTTGCACTGCAGTCTGCTCATCATCTCCCCCCACAATGCTCCTAAAACAGATAAGTATGAACCAGAAAAAGTAATTTCTGAGCAATGTGCGTGTAACATTAAAGATAACAAACTGTCGTAACCCCCCGACCCGCCGCTAATTGTTCAAAACATAGTCGGCCAGTCGCTCTGTGACAGAGACAGAGACGTGTCGTTGGCAGCTGAAGCGGTAAGACGAAAACATGGAGAAGATAAAGAAGGTTAGGGTTTGACTCGTTGGCCATTTAACATTTGTTTTTCAACTTCTCATAAAGCCGATGTGCTTCATGAGCTGTCACTTTTCGTCAACCGACCAACCACAGCCTGGATGGGACATTAAAAAAAGTCTGACGTACTATAGCAAACTTTCAAATGTTGAAAAATATGATTACTGAGAAGTTAGTACTTAGCATTAACAAATTAGAGACAAATATATAATTTTGCTTGCACAAGGATTTAATAAATTTTAAAACAACCCACAGACATGAAACAGCTATAACTGGATTTAATATTCAACTAGTGGTAAAATAGTATACTATTATATGCAATTATAATGAATGTAGCAATTAATAGATTAACGTTATACTAACAGTATGCTATTAACTAGGGCAAGGCAATACGGCCAAAAATGTTATCAGGATAAAAGCATTTCACAACATTCAATTCATTATTACTTTCAATTTAAAGGCTGATTTTTGCTCCTGAATGAAATTGAAGAAACCAGATGGTTAATTGTGCGGTTAAACAATGGATCACTTCAAAATCTGAGGTAGAACATTCAAAACAATTATGCTAAAAATCTTTGTTCAACAACTTGATCATTAAATATTTTCAGTCCCTTTTCCTCAACAAAATAAATATCTTAATATAAATTTTTGTGCTAATTTGTTTGTGATTCAAATAAATTCAATCAAATATTTATTGACGATATATTGGACATTTGTTATATTGTTATTGAGGAAAATTATATTACGATAATTATCATTATTGTTTTATTGTCCAGCCCTACTATGAACTGAACATTATACTCTTTATTTAATGTTATAATATCATACTAATACACTCATTTACACTAGCTCCTACTCCAGGTTGTGGGCAGTGTCTCTGTAGTGGACAGATGTAGATTTAGCCAGAGTCAGGATGCCAGTGTGCCAATATGTGCTCCTTCTAGCCACCTCCTCCTAAGAGCATCACACTCCCCTTGTTCTGTTTTACTAAAGGTTTTGTTATAAATATTGTTTATCATTTAACATTGTTCAAGTTGAGAAATACACATTTCAAAATGTCAGTATTTTGTGCATTTTCATTGATAATCAAGCAAGTAGACTCATTTGCTCCATTATAATCGAACTGCAATCACAAATAGCAATATTGTCCACAATAATATCAATATGACATTTGCTCCAAATGGCGCAGCCCTATTGTTTGCACATGTTATCACTGGATACACACATTGAAGTTTATGTAATCAAACCCTTGTGCTGCTTTGGTTTGAAATTTGAGACTAGGGTTGATTATTAGATTGTATTCATGCAGTACCAGACTAGGTGACATGCAGTTTTAGGACAGTATACAAAATGTAATATTGCAATAGATTTGCAATTTCAGGAGATAAATGACTACTTAGGTGTACCTCTAAAAAAAACATTCAGCCTGCTCATACTAATTAATACAACTAAATGTAACAATAGTTAATAAATGCTTAGAATAAGGTACACGCCATTGTGAGTAATTACTCAGGAATAGTGAGGGAAGAATCAGGAACTAACTCATGAAGAACCTGGTCAGTATGTCTATTCACAGATATTTATCTAGTAACGCTAATCATTATGGTTACCTGATGACTCATTAAAATTGTGTATCAGTCAGTTCACAAACGTAAATCCTCCATTTGGAATTATTCACTACTTGTTAGTAACGTCGTTATTAACTATGCTACTCGTGATTCTGTGTGGGGTATTAAAAGATATCCAATGGCTAACGTTCATCATCATATAACGTAACGTTATGTGCTGGAAAAGCAATATGCCAACATATGATTTGCTGCGTAAAACAGGGAACATGCACTGCAGTTCAACTTACCATGATACTTAAAGTTGCCTGTGGATTTAGCAGTCTGGGTCGCTCTCGCACGGTCTAACATTACCTTTCGCCTCCTCTTCGGGGGAGGTAGGTCGTCGCCCAGGTACAGCTCCGGGTCGGGGTGCAGTTCTGTGGGCCTCTTCTCGACAAAGTGATAAGAGCAAGCATACACTCTTTTGGGAGGGTATTTTAATCTCAAAGCTGCAAGCCACGACCGTCTCCGCGCCTCCTTCTTCGGCATTGAATGCAAAGAGTACGGCATGGGGCACGGACAATCTTGTCGAAGTTTCTGGTGTTGTAAACACAACGTTTGTGAAAAAACCTTCAATTTCCTTGAATTGTTGTAGCAACCAACAACGGCACAAGTTGAACCTGAACTCATTTTAACAACAACTGAACGTTTATTAACTATCTCGGTTTGTTGCTTCTTCTTCTTGTTTGTACGGCGGGTGGCAACCTGGTGGCAACCAGCGCATTACCGCCACCTACTACTGTTGCTCTCCCGCTCACGTCCGCACTCCCTCATAAAGTTGCCCACGTATTTTTCAGTCATGATCCGCCATACTCTGCATCTGGTTCGTAGTCTTTGTTAGATTTAGGTAAGAGGGGTAAATATCACGGTAGCCTAAGCAAATCGGCTTTCCCAGCGGAAACAGTAAACCGGAAGCCGGAAGTAGCTGTGTGTCAGGGGGTGAGTTCAATCTCAAAACGTTTTGCAACATTTTCGGATTGAACGACATGTTTCCTTGCAACGGGCTTCGATTTACGTTTTCTCCCGTTTGGTGGGCGTGTCTCAGGTGTTAACCAATCAGCTGCCACAAGTTTGTAAACACAACAGTGTTAGAAAGGCAAGACAGCAGGTATTCAAGGCACCCCCCCCCACACACACACACGTTGAAAAAAACGAAAAAAGTCTTTCACCTGCGCTGCAAAACGTCATCATATCACATGACATTAAAAAACACATAAGGTGTCGATTTGTGCTACGGTAGCATTTTTCGACAAGGCAGCATAGATCGTCAGAACACCGACGGCCGCAGCTGCTTTGCTCCAGCTGCACCACATTGGAACCAGACTATTGCCTGGTCTCGCTGCATTTTTCTTTGCAAACACGGCAAGATCAGTCATTGCTCTCAGCTCACAGTAAGCTCATGCAGGTAAAATAAGTCCGACTAGACAGCGCCGTTTTTAAACCCCGCCCCTGCAGTCACCTGCAGCTCACGTTCGACTATCAAGTCAGTAGAAGTCAGCCGCAGTCATCTCGAACGCACCTTTTGTGTCATTTCCTAGTCCTAGGTCCTCCACCATGGCCCTACCCTCTACTGGCCTAAACTTGTTTTATACATTCTATGGCCTGACCTTAACCAGAGATGTTTGCATTAACCGCCCTAACCAATGGAGGCCCAAGTAGCCTATTAGCCTATCAGAGGCAGAGTTGTTGTAAAGCTGTGTTATGGTAGCACCTGTATATGATATAACTTTTGATGTAGATTCTGTATGGAAGTGTTACTTTTTAAACATATGCTTCTTCTGTGTCCTGTTTAGGTAGATGTGGGTTTGTTGTGGACAAGATATACAATTCACTGTAAATGCCGTACCTCAAAAACAAAGCAGAGGTAAACCTCAGCAGGCAGGCAAGCAGTAATGGCATTGGTGGTGCAGAGTATACTGATAAAGATGGGCTAAGGTTTCCCTTTGTTCCACCACAGTTTTAGTGCACAGTGTGTTTTGTTTTTGAATAGTGCCTATGTTATGCAAATAGTTCAGGGTAATTCAAGGCCCATCAAGCAAGCCTACATAAGTAGCACGGCATAAGTGCAGCCTTGAATTTGTATTTAACATCCATGCATCTATATTGGTGAATAACTCACACCACCATACATCACAACAATCTGAACTGTCCATTTAACAGCCATATAATGAGATTGAATGGTGGATCTATTTTTCCACTTTTAAATGAATCACGTTTGAAAGAAGGATCTCGAACACAAGTTACTATAAGCTTTGTTTAATATTATTCTAAATGCATGTTGCTACTGTGGTTTCTGGTCTCTTTTTCTAAATAATGGTGTCTTGTAAGCCTGTTGGGCTGTACATTTTATTTATCCATGACACAATAATAATACAAATCTAATCATATACAGTACATAGACTGGTTTAAAATATATTACAGAATGGGTACTGAATGGAAAGGATTATAGGTATACAAAAGGATGTTAATATTGTCCTATTGTTGAAACTACAGTCAGATAGTATTTTGAGCTGCATTTTGTGTATGAAAGTTCATAAATAATGTTTATGATTTACTACAAACTGTAGGCTACTTATGGTACAGTTGAAAGTTGCAGATGGCACATCACCAGAGTAACTCAATCTGTTGAGGGGGAGAAATGAAAAATGTGAGCGTTACATCCCAGAGTTGTTTGTAATGCTAGCCACACATACAAATGTCTCTCATTAGAAAACTGAGCTGTCTAATGGGTGGCCATTTGTCTAGAGATGGTTGATGGGACCTAATGGGCACAGGATGTGAATTAAGGAACAACGCCCCATGATACATGTGTGGACAATTAATAGTGCTTAACGAGAAAGGAGATGAATGACTGGGGGAGGGGGGCTGAATTTCACAAAGTTGGGTGTGCGGAGCAACTCCTCCATCGTCCTGGTAAATGACAACTTGATGGGAGTGAAAAGTTGGGGACAGAAAGCTGTTAATCATGGAAAGCAGACATTAGGAAGGCAAGCTGAAAGCAAAATAAAACACATTTGTCTTGTATGGTATTTGTACTATGACCCACAGTTGTATTTTACCTTACAGTACAATGGTTGCACTTTCCTATTCCCTATCTTCCCACATGCAGTTAACAAGGGTCATGGGTGAGTGTACCAGGATTCTGTTGGATTCTGTTTTGTGTCTGTATCCATAAATCTGCCTGGCAGACCTTTTGATGTTGAATATATATACAACAGCCTGTAGGCTGCACAATTTTTAGCACAATTTTTTTTGTCATTTATTGCTTTGTAATGCTATAAAATACAGATCCAAATACTTTCTAGTATCAGCTCAGCATAGTTAAGAATCTTGGTCTACTGTATCATATCTATAGTATATAGTGAACATTTAGTATTCATTTGATTACATGTTAAACTTGCTCTCCTACTGAATGTTACAAACTTTTAGAGAGTTTACTTGCTTTTGTTTGTGGCAGCCACAACTTTTATATCCCACAAAGTCGTAGAGAAGTTAGTTCGGAGGAGTGTAGAGGCCATTCATATTCATAGAGGAGAGTGAAGTGAAGTGTATTACAAAACATAGAGCCCATTCTGAGGTTGGTGATTCAGCAGTGGACTTGTCTCTATCAGATAAGATGACAGAGTAATATTGATGGGTCTTGTCCTTGCTCAGGCTGATACTGTACGGTGTACACAGATGCGGGGCCGTAGCATTCCCCAAGGCTTCCCCTTGGCTTTGCAGTGCAGCCAGAGTGACGGACAACTGCACCAGGTGGATAATCCTCTGAGGAGAACACAGAATTTGTAATGAGAATGTGAGCAAGTAATGTGGCTGTTGTATTGGAAGCAATGAATAACAAGCACTTTTTTTTTTAAATATTGACAAAATGCCCTTCACCTGATGATGAGGCCTGTGATGAGTTGTTACTTGTTCTATTCAGTGCAAAAAAGCTGCATCCATCATGAGTTACTGAACAGTTGCTCGCTGTGATCATGTTTACTGGAATTATTACTGACAGACTGAATAGGATATATTTGAAATTCAGATCTCTGTGTAAGCTTTGGTTCTTTGAAGAGAACTGGCAGTTGAAGTATTTTTCTGGTGACTGGAAGTTTTAATGGTGGGAGTAAACAGGTATTAGCAGGTAGAGGATGGCTAGATAGATGAATGGATGGATTTAACTTGATTTCTGAAAATTAAATCTACATTTCATAACAATGAATTTACTAATTACCTGATTTAATCTGTAAAGCTATGTAACTATGGTGGCTATTTGTAGTTTTCTCCCTACTGCAGCATTTAAAACTGTGAGCTTTGCTTCAGCACCCACTATCTTAAAGCTAGTGGCTGTATGTAGCACAGAATCCAATACGTCTTCCAATAAGTTCCACTGAAAGGCCATTAGACCCACAGTGCTCCCTCCATTGAAAAACCTAATGGCCCTCTGCTTGGGACAGGTGCTCCACAAATTGCTTCCTCTAAATGATTAATGAGTGAAGATTTATAAGAGAGGCGGTCCAACTGCATGGACTGTGTGTGTGTGAATGTGGTGGAGGTTGACAGGCGTGTAGACTAGCTGGATAAGTTACAGACTTTCAGTACAAATCTACTCATTGATCCATGTTCATAGCATGTTGCATTTCCCTTCTATCACATTATCAGACTTGAGGAGCACTTTTATTGTGGAGAAAATAACTAACTTGTAATTATAAACTTTTAGGGTCCTGGAATGGCCTTGTTAAGATACAAACAAGGAATAAAACATAATGACCATCATGACAGTGTGGCATTTGGAAAAATGTTGAGCTAAATAATGTAAATCTTTATTTTATTGCTACTTAAGAATTCCTGTCAGTCATCTAATTAATTAATATTTCATTAATCGTGGTCTTGGCCAGAATGTGCATATTAAGCTGTTGAACAGAAAAACATTTAAATACATTGATGGCCAGGGAAAAATACACCCTTTAACATCCTTAGAGATTCTTATAGAAATTGTAGCGTTTCTAATAAGGAGAAAGAACAAAGCAACACTGAATGCCACAGATTTACTGGCAACAAAAAATCCAATCGTAAGGGCCTTAACAAGACGCTCATCACGATAAGGTTTTGGATTTTGTGTACAGCCAATACGCAGCCCCTTCTGTCTACAATTCTGCAAATGTATTCTGACTTTGTATTCTGACTTTGACCAATTATTCAGTTCTATTTGCAAGTCACAGCAACAATATTTAAAAGATTAGCCCTGGGGGCTTGATATATTTTAACCTAGAACCAGCATCAATTATCATATTTTTGCTCTAAGCATTCAACATGGGTTCAGCTGATGTTTTCCTAGATATTACTCACAATGTATTCAGCACATTAGAACAAGTCAGTGATGTGTCAAGAAGTAAATTTGAGTATCTTTGTTATTCTAGGTCTAACAGCAGCCCTGTACCCAGTCAATATTTGAAAAAAAAGTAGTTTTGGTATGATAGTGGAAACGCAGTCTCAATGAAATCAGATGGAGGACATGTTTTATGTACTTTTTGCACTCCTTTTGTGGTTTTAAAGCCCATCATGGAGTTGCAAAAAGCTTGGGTGGATCCACTGATTGGGGAATCAGATTAGCGCTAAATGCTGTCATTTTATGACAAATCATAATGACATGCCATATAGGAACAGACCCTGCTAGAGGCTATTTTAACAGACTGCTTACTGTTAAGGACGAAGTAACACTTGAGAGGAGTAAAGCTTACATACCTGTACCTATGCGTCTTGGAGAGACATACATATACACCTCTCTTTTTAACATGTATTATCAAATTTCAATCTATTACGTCTTTGGATAGCTATGCAATTGGCCCAAGATGCGTCGTGCAATTAAGTGTAAATGTGCTCTTTGTGTTTTGTGATATTTATTATGCAAAGCTAGCAAAAAGCATG